CGGCAAGGCGCGAGTGCAGCCTGTGGCGGCCGTATCCGCAAATTGGCGGCCGATCGAGCCACTAATTACTCAGACCGGGCGTGTTTTAAAAGCCGGACGGTTACGACCGATTTACGGGACCGCCCGAGGCGGAAAGAAAGCCGTTGAACTGCCGATATGTGTGTGCGGGTTCCTCTCACAATCCGGCACGGATCACCGTCGAACGGTCCATTCGTCTAATCGGCTGTTTCAGCGCGTCGATCAAGCGTGCGATTTAGATTGCGCGCGAATAAGTTGGATGATGTGTTACATCGAAAGTTAAAATTTTAATATAAGAGTATTTTTTGAATAAACAGAGAAAAAAAAGACTGACCCCGATTTAATAATGATTCGAAATTACTTCAATTAATTGCATCTTAATGTAATATGAAAAATATTTAATGAGTTTGTTTAGTCTCGACCAAAACTTTATTAATCAGTAGTAAATCTCTCTTTCTCATTTTCACGATACTAAATACGAAAGTTCTCATAATAATTTAATTTTTAAATAATTTAAAATTTGTGTCAGATACGAGAAATATAAATACGAGAATTTTTATATTAATTGATTTTTAAAATAATTTAAAATTTTCGCGTCAAATACGAGAATATCAATTATATTTCTGAATATATTTTTATAAATGTAAGCGAAATATAATATTAAACTAGCGATAACTTTATATAGACTCTCCGCGCGGAATTTAACGTGAAGCAAAAGATCTCTTTGCAAGATTCCCAGTGGATAAATCGAGGCATGTGCGGACGCGCGAGTAGATAAGCTGGTTGGCGGTCGGACCGGAACAAAGGAAGGTTTTGTGCGATAAGAAGGGTTCGCGGATAGCGATCATTGGCTCGTCGCAATTTAATTGTTCGCTAACAGTCGGCTTGCGCAGCGAGTTTCTGTCCTGTGAAACGTGAAGGCAAACGTGAAAATATGTACGTGCCGCGAAAGGAGCCGCCTAATAGCACACGCGCTAATGAGCGGTATATTTTCTCGCACGTCTCTCACTCTGTCTTTCCGTTCCTCTCTCTCTCTTTTCCTTTCCTCTCGCAACTGCAAGCGAGCTTTTCCGGCAATGAGTCACAGTCGGATGCGTGCGAAATTACATCGCCATGGCGCGCGCGCTAAATTGTCCCGTAATCTTGAAACTAACGTTTCAACGGTCAACAGCTTGCACCGCCAGCCAACACTTAACGGTCGAGCTTTAATAATTTACAGAACACGGCCGAGTCACTTCGCGGAAAGTTTGTCTTCGCGTTTTGTTTTCGCCGCCTGTCCTGAGGAACGCGGCAATTCTGTTGCGTGTTCGGGAACACGCGCGTAAAATAATTTGCAACAATATACGGAAAGCGCAAAAACAATTAGAATATCGAGAAGATCACATGTGTGTTTCAATTTCGCGTATACGCAAATCGATTTATTTGCGAGATGTTCTCAAAAAGAATGTTTGCAAAATGTCGAAAAATTATTGAAAAGTATTCAAGAAAAATGTCATTATTATTTTGTTGCCTGTATTTCATCGAAAACAATTAAAGTCCTCTCTCTCCGGGTCGTCGCGCGCGACACGCAAGTCGAATTGAAACGCGCTTCGCGCACGTTCGATGCAATTAATTTTTCTGGCCGGCGCATAAATCGAGCTGGCGACTTCTATGAATAACATCGGCCGGGGGATGCGTCGAGCGCTCGGCTTTTGTCTCGCAAGATCAACGGCGCTATCCGGCGCGATCGAACGAACACATCCCGCGCCCGCAACGAATTATCGCGGAAAACCGAGCGCGTGTCGCGGGCGATAAATCGAAGGGGGCGTCGGTCGTGCGCCATCGATCTTCGTCAGAACGACGCGCGGCGCGGCATGTGATGCAACGAGAACGGGGGGAAGGGAAGGAAAGGGGGTGGAAGGCGGGCGTGCCAGGAGTCGGCCAGGTTAACCAGAAAATTGCAAGGCACACACAAAACTCGGCTGCACAATGGAATCTTAATTCCGCGAGAGCGGTGGAGTTGAATTCACTTCAACTCTCCCCCCCATCTCCCTACTCTTTTTCTCCGCGCTCTCTTTCTCTCTCTCTCTCTCTCTCTCTCGTCATTTCCTTTCCTCTTTCTCTCTCCCGTCGCGTCTTATTCTCTCTCTTTCGTAATTAGGAAGCAAACAGAGCGGCGGTCTTGCCAAGTTGGCGGAGTCGGAGATGAAACAGCAGTTTCCGTCCGCCCATCCTTCTTCCGCCTGCGCCGTAGACCCCGTAGACGAGAGTCTACACCACCCTTCTCTCTCTCTCCTTTCTCCTACGCTCCCTCCTCGCCCCGTTCTCTCTGTACCCGAGCGTCTCTCCGTTCCCAAACCCACCATCACATTTTCCGGTGTGTCGACGGGCCACCTGACTCTCTTCTTCGACTCGGTACGATTATGTGGAAAGAGCAGGCCGCAAAAGGCGGACAGTATAATTCACTGCCAAACGCAGACCGCCGTCGCGTGTTATTTCGCCTTCTTTTCCTTGTCTTCTGTTCTTTTTACGACGCGCCGCAATATCCCTTCGTGAGGAGGAAGGTGAAACAGAGAGAGAAAGAGAGAGAGAGAGAGAGAGAGAGAGAAAAGGGTGGGAGGGAAGGAGAGAGAAAGAGGAGACAAACTCGTTGCGAGAGATGGAGAGTGAGTCCGCTTTTATGGCAGTCGTCGTTTCGCGAGCAAGAGAGTCTCGATCTTCGAGCTTTTTATGGCGTAATTATCTCGCGCGAGTCGATTGCCGTCGCTTCCCAGGTAATATAGTTCGAGTAACGCTCGAATCACAAAATGTCGGGAATTTATAGCGACATCAGGTAATGACTCAACGTTGAATTATCCGATCCTCCGTATTGATACACTCCGTTTTATGCGTGTAGCGATGTGTGTAGGAAACATGAAAAAAAAAAAAAAAAAAACTAAAATCGAAACTCTCGCGCAAATTTCGATGTATATATTTCAGCTTATTTAGATCTTCTCTTCATATCTCGTTTTTCAAAAACGTCAATGTTTCCTGTCAATTGTAAAACTCGTTCAATCGATTCGGAAAGGAACGGACTCGAATATATGGAAGAATATCATACGTTAGAATGTCATAGAACTCGTCGCTAAAAACACGACGGAAAGCTTTCGCGCGTCGAAACGCAGAGCAGATTTAATAGACATCGACGTGTTCGAGATATGCGCGTCGTCGCTCGGACTTTGTCGCGCGCGCATACACACACACACATACATTTATCCTGTGTGATCCCGGGAAATACAGGAAGTTCTCTCGGTCTCTCTGTGCTTTAATTCCATAGAGTATTCCCGGAGAGAAACGGCAGCGAGGAAAATGGATTGCCCGATTCCGCACAGACCGTTTCTTAGTCAAAATAATGCGAGGCGCAGGTATCGCCGTCGTCCTCCGGAAACCGCGAGCTCGCTCCTCCCTCGACGCGCCCTCTTTAGTCAGGAAATTGCCTTTCCGACGCGCCTGATTTCCGTTTCGAGGTCGACACAGTTTTTTGTTAATTAAAGCCGCAAAAAGAGGATCTCGCGGCCACTCCTCCTCGGCCAGCGAGCGAGAACCAAATAGCACGATAATTTCAAGCCACGACGCTCGCGCTGATGGCCCCCTTTAAAATCGACCGCGAATCGAAATTTATCTTTCGCGCAAACGAGAGAAAGAACGTAAGGACGGTTCTCGCGCGCGCGAGCGTGTTCGAGAGATAAATGGTAACAGGTGGTATTCGACCGTAGCGCGTAATAAGTTTTCACGTGGACTAAATGCGAACCCTATATACGCCCGCGGCTTTTACGGCCCGCCGTTTTTCATTATCGCATTTCCACTCTCCTTCACCGAATTACCGAAAGTCTCCGATTACCGAAGTCTCGAAATAAAATGCGGGTTAATGTCTTTCTCGCGCGCGCACAGACTGCACCGACATTCCTGCGAAACTACTTGTTTCTTTTTTTTTTTTTTTTCTTTTATCTTACATTGCGTTTTATATTTATTTTCAGATTCACATTTGCGCGACGAAATTATGCAATAACCGACGAGAAGAATATGGAATACAATATTTGTTTTTTTCTCTCTCTCTCTCTCTCTTCAATCGCCTGCGGAACTTTTATTAATATTTCAAAGAAATCGCGAGAAAAGAGTGTCTAAATCTAAAGGCAAATCTGGCAAAAAGCACTTTCTTATCTCGAAAACTAAAAGTCTCTCTCCCTACGTAATCTTTCTTATCGCCCTTGCGGTCTTGTGAGATCGTGGCAATTTTACTTGAGCGACAAAGCGCTTATTCCAATCCAAGGCCTACTAAGGAAAGTTAGTTCTCTCTCTCGAAAGGAGACTTTTTTAATTAAAGTCAGAAATAAAAGCGTCGGAAAAACGGAATGCCACACAGTCTAAAGTTTCCACCGAGGCGGGAGGGATTTGTGCCCCGTCGTAATCTTTTCGGCTCATGAAATCATTCTCCGCAATCCGAGCCGAGCCGTCACTCATCCAACTTTCCATTATTCGCTTTTATGCATCAGAGATGGTGCACAGACATTGATGATACCTATTATACAATATACGTATATAATTGCATCTCGGCGATTGTTTTAAAAAGCAAAACTTGGATCTGAAAGCAAAAGTAATTTTTTATTCTAAACAAATATAAAAACGAGAGAAGGATGTGACCGTAAGATATAACAAATATGTGAAAAAAAAAAAAAACTATGTAAAAGAATATAGTAAATTAGAATTTTTATTTGCAAAAAAGTATATTTTATATTTATGTTCGGAAAATGTAAAGGAGAGAGAGTAAAACGGAAAGATCGCAAAATGTGATAGCGGAAAGGCACGAAATCTCGCCGCGGACGAGAAATCCCCGTGACGTCGCTAAGTCCGGGAGGTGTGAGTTTAAATTCCCCGGGTGTGCGAGTATCGGCGATCTCTCTCTCTCTCTCTTTCTCTCTCGGAATCCAGCGGTGCTCACCGATCCTTATCATTTGTCTTTGCAGAGGCTTACGTGAATCTGGGAGCCGCGCTGATTTCGGTCGGACGCGGCACCGAGGCGGCTGCGGTTTTGCGCGCCGGTGCATCCTTGGACGGCTCCGGTCTGAAGGACAAAAGGGCTCACGAGGCGGCCAGGGTGCAGGCTCTCCTTCAATTAGGCGCGCTGTACGCCGATCAGGGTAGATTACAAAGAGCCCTGTCGGCGTACAGGGAAGCCCTGCGCGCCCTGCCGGATCACTATCCACCCCAGGTTAGTAGTTCACCGCTTTCCTCTTCATTACGCCACTAAGGCGGAATAACTTGATGCGCCCGTGTGGGAGAACTATGAATACTTAGAGCGCGTTAGCGGTAAGTGCCTTCGAGGGCACGTCTCCGTTTGGCTTCGAGCGATTCATGCAGTTTCTCTCGCTCGCCCTCCCTCCCTCCCACGCTTGCTTCACCTCCTCCGTTTCTCTCTGTCTTCTTCCTTGGTATTCTCCCTATCCGTCTCTCTGGAAATTACGTATAACGAGGTTCGCGCAGAGACGGAGAAGGAGCTCGCGCGCGCGCGCGGTTATCGATTATTATGATGTACGTATATCTGTGCAATATCCGCGCGCAACTTGCGCATTTCTCTGGCGTATCGATAACTTTGAGAAACCGATTGCAGCGAACACACACACACACACACACACACAGGTTTTCGAATTGTCGGTAAACAGAGAATCGAAATTAAATGTCGGAAATTTTTACAATCACAACTCGCGTGCGCAACGTCAACCGACACAAATTAACCGGAAGAATAAGGTTTCGAAATACGAATTTATTTTCTCGACAAGAAATATCGTCGCGCAAATTGTTCCCGGGCTCGCGCAGAGACGTGACAGTTAACTGCGAAAACGATTGCCGCGAATCGTTCTCGTCCGATTGCGTCCGATCGTCGGTTAACAAACCGGGGGACGAAGCGGTAAACCACTTCGAACGATACACCGAGAGCGATCCGTAAGAAAGTAATCAACTCGAAACAGATTTCTGATGTTTTCGTCGGTCCGCGCCCTTCGACTGCTAATTGCTTTCCAAGATTATTGCTCCCTCCGGCTCGTCCGGGGCAATTCCACGTTTCTCTCCGCTCAATCATCGGCCGCGCCACCACACAGCGTGATACACACACACTCTTGTGCCTCTTCTCTCCACCTAGCGTGTGACGAATCGGAAAAAAGCGGAGAAAAGTTATGTTTTTTGTGCGGCGCGAAATATAAAAATCTCTGTAACGGCATTTTTTTTTTTTTTTTTTTTTAAATAGATTAAAGAGTAGATGCAGAGAAAAATTTTTATTTATTTTCAGAATTGTGTGCGGATTAACGCGCAAAAGTTAAAAAAAAAAAAACCAAACAAATTTAATACACTTACGCGCAAAAACTTTGTCATCGAGAAATAAATCTACACCAGCAGAGACGAGAAAGAGAGAGAAGAGAGTGGATGGCTCGACACACGCGATGACATTTCCGAAAGTGTTGATGTTTCCGCGTCACCAAATAGAGGCGAGCAGTATCGTATTCTCGGTAACAATTCTGACACAGAGATTTTCTCTGCTTTTCCCTTGAAAAATCAAGAAAACGTTCTCTTCTCCGCGACCCTTTCTCTCACTTTCTCTCTCTTCTTTTTTTTCTTTCCCTCTCTTCCTTCTCTCGGTGTAGCTCCCAACCATTCGCGTTTGCAACGACGCGCGGAGTGAACTTCCCGCGAGAGTTTCTCTCTCTCTCGTAGGATATAGCTTTACCGTCGTCGTCGTCGTCGTCGTCCGACTTCCCTCGCTCGCTTTTTCTCCCCTCGCGTCTTACTTCTCGCGCCGCGTCTTTTTTCTTTTTTTTTTTTTTCCGTTTTCACAATCTACGTCTAACTTTTTGGATGTGGCGCAGGCGAAGCGACAACATCGGGATCGCGCAACGACCGGCACCTTCTAGTGCGCCCGGCATCGACGCCGTGCAGCGCGAGAGAAGTTTGCATTTTTACGAGACACTCCGTACCCTCCGGCGTCCCGTCGGAACCGACGACCAACCGACCGACCGACCGACCGATTCTTTTTCCTTCCTTCCTTCCTTCCTTCCTTCCTTCCTCTTCTCCACGTTCTTCGCTTCGCTTTTACGTGTTACGAACACGCAGCGTGGCCGTTTTGTTCGGCGCATCGCCGTGGAATTCCTGTGCGACAATTTATTCGAAAAGTATTTTTCGCCTTTCCGTGGGTTCTGCCGCGCTGCTGCAGGTGCGTGTGTGTGGATGGATGTGTGTAGGTGTGCGCGCAGAAACATATGCAAGCGGAGACGTCGCAGATGCGCCGAAAGAAACTGGCGAGAACTCGGACGTACGGAGAGAGAGAGAGAGATTTACCATTTTTCCACGAATATACGTCGAGACTATTTGTGCGCCGTCTCGTTATATGTCGGGATAAAATTGTCTACTTACGTTGTTTTTTTTGTCCGAGAGCAGTAAACGAGAAACTTTATTTTTAACGATTAAGCAAACGATCGAACGAGTTTTTACAGCACAGATTTTATATTTGACATAAATATAAAAATATCCATAAAATTCTTTCTTTTTTTAGTAATTAATTTATTTATTTAGTAGAACAACAATAACTCGTGATGATATATTTTAAACTGAGATTTTTTCTTTTGTGTATTGAGCGAGTAATTTTCTCCAATGCTTTTATTTATACATATATTAAATTAATTACGTAATAAGATGAAGTTAAAATTAAAGTAAATATATATTTGTATCGTAAAACTTTCACCTTCGAATATTTTGCAGCGTTTTTGTTATTTTCCGCGCTCATACTGGGCCATTGTATCGCTATCAAAATAACGCTACAAAATAATAACGAGTTGCGACTGTGTGTTTCATTACCAATCGATTTGACGCGAAAGCGACGTTTGTTGATTGCGAATGACGTGACATTTGCAACGTCAAAGTGCGAATTCTATGCGCGTGTCAAGCGCAAAAACGCGCGCCTGCAGCGATGTGAACGCGGGAGGTATAAATTTCGGACGCGCGCGTGTCCGCGGAAATTTAAAAGGAAAGGCATTAAATGAGTATGGCGATTAAAATCAGAGAATGGCCACCGAATAAAGCGTTTTTCGCGCCGTGTCGAGCAATGCGCACCTTATGGCGCACGGAATAGATATACGCGAACGGAATCTGAGAAATTTTTTATTTCTGTTAGGGAGAAAGAGAGAGTTAGAGAGAGAATTGGTTCCGTTCGCGCAAAATTAGGAGCGTTAATCTCAATATTTCGCTCGATTCGCCCGGCATAATTTCCCATTCGAGGCTCATGATTGGCAATCGCGATAAAACGGAAACGAGGAGGATCGCTGGCATTGGCACGTTTCCACGCCGAACTTTTCCTCGCCGTGCAGTTATTCGCGTCCACCTAATTGATTAAATCTTCCCCTTCCTCTTCACCTCCGCGCTCCTCTTCTTCACGCTCTCCTCTCTCTTACTCTCGCCGCTCTCCGGCGAGAGAATTCGAAATATCTGATATTACACAAATTGAAATTCCTCTCTTTAAAACTTTTGCATTCCGTCCTCGTCGACGGCCGAGCATGGTTTCATTCGATTATCGGACGTAAGTCGCAAAAGTCCTTCTCTTCCGCGCACACAAGCGCTTCCTGAGCACAAAGTGCTTCCGGAATTGAAGTCGAAGAAATACGGTCTGGGCGGAAATCGTTATGAAAATACGCCTCCAGTCGTTTATCCCAAAGTTTCGAGTGCACCGCCCACCGTTTCGCTTATATACACATATATAATATATATATATATGCGTAAAAGGCGATGTTTCGTGAGTGCCATCTCGTGATTCCAAAGTCGTATATATTCATAAAAGTTTTAGAGGGACATAATCTAGCCTCGCCTGAAAGACAAGAAAAATATCACGAGGCACGATATAGTGCCTCGCGCAATTTCGAGCGCGACTTCGTTACGCGACTCTTATACGCGAAATTCATGCAATTGAGAAGTGAGAAGATTTCATGGGGCAATATTTCAAGAACGACTGAATGACCGATCAATTTCGTTTTAAGTTTCAATCGCTTCAAAACAAAACTATTAAAAAAAAGGATTCTTGAGTTTTTTTTGTGTGTGCTTCTGATTTGGAAATAGGCGACGATAAAATTTTGAAGTGAGATTTTCACGTTTTCAGGAACGTCATTATTATCGTCGTCGTGCGACCAAAATGTGTGCATGTTCGTATGCTTGCTAACAGACAGCATACATGAATCACGTGGACAAGGAGAAAAAGAAAAACATCACGTGAATTTACTGTAATCGTGTGACTTTAAAAAAACGTAACGCCATGTGACAGGGAGAGAAAAACCACGTAATTAAAGTCACTTGACTTTACTTACTCACGTGTTTTTAAAATCGTGACATTTTGTATTTTGTAGTATTATTTTATTTTGTAAAACACGTCTTATAAAGAAAGAAGATTTTGTAGTATTAAATCAATTTGTAATTAATTAATTTTTAATTTATTAATTTTTAATTTATTAATTTTTACTTTTGTACTTTATATATACTTTATATATACTTCATATATACTACAGTTAGGTCACTGACCTCGGTCGCGTGACCGCGGCGGGGTCACTGACCTCGGTCACGCGACCGCGGCGGAGTCACTGACCTCGGTCGCGTGACCGCGGCGGGGTCACTGACCTCGGTCGCGCGACCGCGGCGGGGTCACTGACCTCGGTCGCGTGACTGCGGGGAGATCAACTCTTCGTTACGCGTGAACTTGGCGCGAGACACTACCGTGCCTCTTGATTATAATATCAATAGCACTAATTATTAGTTCAGCTATGCTAAACAAGCATAAGTCATATTGTGCAATTAATTAGAGAACAGACAGAGAAAAATTAACAAATAGATTTATAATACAAGTAAAAGAAATAATTGTGAAATAACCAAATAAAAAAAATGAAATACATCAAGACGAAAAGAAAATATTGACATAAAAAAAAAAGAGATAACACGCTACAAAGTACTGATATTTTAGATGTAATCGCAGTTGTCCGGATTGATTTGGTGTAATAATGTAATTAGAGATACTGTTTTGTATATAACGTTACTGAATTATTCAGCGACGTTTAATGATTTGTGTTTGATAGCAACGTGTATATTGCAAGAGCTTCTTTATATGTTTAGATATTTTTGACTTTTTCATATATTTTTCACCGTTTTAGCAAAATAAATTGCGATTGATCCAATCGCTTTCGGAAT